GGGGCGCTGTTTGGCGGGCGCCGGGGAGAAGGAGGCCGTCGGGCCCCCAAGTTAGGGTTCCTTTGCAGAAGCTCAATCGTCCGACAGAGAAGAAGGGCTCTCCTCGTTGATCGAGGTTCCGAGGAGGGAGGACCGCAGCTGCTGAGATGACTTTCTCATTATTTTCTGGTTGTTTGCTAACGCGAGCGCAGATCTGAGCAGACATGTACGCCTCGTATTTGCCCTGTTTGATTCAGGATCCCTGTAACACCCATTTTTTGACTTGCACAATTTCTTCTTTGTGTCAATCTACAGGAAAGCGAATAAGGAGGAAAGGGGGGGAAAGGGGGGGAAAGGGGGGAAAGGGGGGGGGGGAGGGGGGAGGAGTCATACAAGCTCTCCCTGAGGAGCACGGTCAAAGTTGCTGATGGGAGATGCAAAGTGCTATTTGCCCAAATTAACCTTCTGATAGTGAGAGAGAAAACAAGCATATGTCGGCAAGAGTCGTAATCAAGCCATTCTACACAAATGTACACAAATTTCGTCTCAACAAGCAGTCCTTTCGGGCCATCGTGGAAAAACCTGGTGTTGTGGGGGCAGTATTGTTACTCTGCGACATGACTCTCCATGCTAATCTACAGCCAAGGGTGTGATCAAGGGTGCGATGAAAATAAATATGTAATCAAATTGCCATTCATACAGTCGTAAAATTCCATCAGCAGACTCTGTCCGCGGCAACTGATGCCGCCGACGACAGCCGCCTCGTACCCAACCCATGCGGTCCAATGCCGGCCACAACGAGCCTCTCACTGCTCATCCCCGTTGCCGTCATTGATGCCCTCCCTCAGAATCTCAATCTGCTTCTGGATCTCGACCCAGAGCACCAACTTGTCGAGCCCGTCGCCCGCGTCATCACTCACCACGATCCACGCATCCGCCGACGCCCCGCTCGTCCGCCTCTCGCCGGCCCCGGTGCCCCTCCGCGCCAGCGCCAGCAGCGCCGCGACGAACGCCTCCTGGATGTACGCAAAGCTGAACTTGTCCGTGATCTCGGCAATGGCGCGGCACAGACGATCCGGGAACTCAATCTCCTTGTTGCTCTTGAGCTTAGCCTGCCAGAAGCGGCAGTACGCCTCGCGCTGGTCGACGTTGGGGTCCGGGAAGAGGTACTTCCTGTCGAAGCGGGAGGGGCGTTTCTGTGATTTGTCAGTCGGGGGTCTTTACCTACGAAGAGGGAATCGCGAAAAGGGGGGGGGCGGGGGAGACTGACGGCAATGCCCGGGTCGAGGCGGTCGAGGTGGTTCGTGCTGGCAATGATAAAGATGCCGTCGTTGGACTTGAGCCCGTCGACCTCGTTGAGGAAGTAGCTGCGCACGTCGTC